CAAAAGATGACGACCAAACAAACCTACGGCAATCGAAATACGGAATGACCGCCTCTTGTTAAGCTGTTCAAGGTCGTTGAAACGAAAGGGCCGGCAGCTTCGAACGGCTCTGACGTATCAAGACGGCAGCGCTCCAGGGGTATCGCGACACTTTTTTGCGCTACTTTTTCATTTCTGCTTTGTGCACAACCAAAATTCGAAATTAATTATGAATAAATTTGAAAGTCCATTTTCCGTTTTCATAATTAGGTGAAAAGGGGTTTTTCCATTTTGCGTTACATAGTATCGTGAAGTCCTTGGAAATTCATTATTCAGGTGCTGCTGTAATAGTTTTTTCGTGTTTGCATCGCAGACTAGCAATTATTTCTACTTAGGTATACACTGATGATAGACAAATCTTCTATTTTTATATGAAATAGCATGATCCAGACATATATCGTCATAAAAATTGTATTGTCGTCAAGTCTACCAAAACTGCGTTACAACTAACGATACCATGGTAAGATATATCATTTTTCCCGTCTTTATCACAATTTCGGCTGATTTTCTCTGTTTTGTCCGACTTTCATGGCAGAAATAGGTTGATAGTGAAAACATTAGGTGTCCCGAGTGTTGTAAATATTATGTATATACTATAGATGATAATAACGCATACCAAGATGTTAATATCACCTTCTAGAGTTAGATATATTAGCCACCAAATTATTTTATTGCAGGAAATAAATCATGATCATGCGGAAGAGGTATAATTATGTGAAGATTTTACCAGAGACCAAGCTAAGATATCATTACTACATCTTATGTAGAGCTACAATGTTTTGGCTGCCGGTATTATTGCAAAAATACCTTATAGCAGAAATAAGTACTGATATAAAGCTGTCACGAGAAAGAACTGAAAAGTACGATTCGATAGTCAAGATATCTTGATCTAAGGTGACCAGATTGTGTGAGATCCTATGTGATGATCGGAAATCAACCAAGACCTGTCTAGCTTACGTGCTGATGCCGTAAATGACAATTACTCATAACTTACGTGGACTAGAATAGAATATGCATCAAGAATTGCAGGTTACACAAGACGATTCAAAGTAAGTTCACACAGTAGTCTTTATATATGTTCATCGTCTAAGTTTCCGAAGTGCAACCTGTCCAAAGAATTAAATAATATAATCCATGTATGTTGTGACCCAGACTTTCCTAAGCAACGCAAGAGATAAAGGAAATAAACGTGATTGACTATCCAAAGAAATAGTGTGCTAAATGCACTTCTGATCTGTAATTGAATACTGGTTTCCGTTTTTATGCTAGTTTCTGGTAAACATTTATACTGCGATAACTATCTCCTATCTGTCTTATTTCCAGCTGGCTTCGCAAGTGTTCACAGACCTAACGGGGACAATTCCTGAGAAATAGAAGTTAATTATTAATGGATCATTTGTGCTAGATTCAAACTTTAATAAACGTTTTCATTTATAACGCGTCAGTCTTTTAATTACGGCAATTCTCATCGATTGTGACAGGTCCAAATTCGAACTACTAGTGTGGTACACCACGTTCAAGGTAGCAGTATTTGGTAAACGGCATGTATGACTAATCGCGTGTGCGCCAAACTGGTAATTATTACACAAGAACGCGAAACAACATCCCCGTCTCACAGCCACATAAGACTGCACAGTACACTCCCTGCCGTTACGCTATAAGAATAATTCAATGGCCATATAGATGAATTTATGTAAAACTAAAAATATTACAATATTAAAACTTCTTGTTATCAAGAAGCATAGCTATGGTCTGTATTAACAATGGATTCTGACGTTAAAGCTTCATCATTAGCACCGATTGAACTCATCACTTGTGCGCATGTCTTCCGATGCTTCGAGGAATGAACGGATGACTTCACTTCCCAAACGTTCACTAAGAGCATGGATTGAGTGGTAGTTGTTAGTGAACTTCTCTAGCAGATCACCACTTTCTGTAGAGATTGACATGTTGTCCAGCGCACGAAGAACCAGGTCCGTTATGTATTTCCGTGTCCACCGGTTGCTATGTCGAAATAAGTTTACAAAACTTATAGAGGTAAAGGAACACACATACCTCCACGAATCAGATCTTCAGAATGTGCATATAAAATATGACCACAGGGCAGCATGTAGTCATTGAAACGCTCACAAGCACATCGTGCACGTGAAGTATTAACAACATACATCATACCCTTGTCATAGCACCGGATGTATTCTCCTTCTATAATATCGTGTCTCATTGTCTGAACACGTTTATAATTTACAGCTACAATTTTAGCTGCAAAAGATGTGAACTCATTTAGAAGAGTTCGAAATGACATTGGAACCTGGAATTAATGATACATTTACCTATATTTCTTACCTGAAGAATCGGGAAACGTTGAAGATCCTTTACAGCGTCATATGGACGCAAACGTAGGTCAATGTCTGTTTTACTCTAAATTTTCCAGAAAGTCAATAGCAGGGAATCACCTCTTCTGAGACATTCTTTTAGGTGTTTATGAGCACTTTCAACACGGTTGTTTGTGTGGTTACCCAGACTTAATACATGTCGCCGGTAACGGCGAGCCCACATTGACTTCCTGACAATCCAGAAATCTTTTATGTAATCATACGCCCGTGAGAAATGCGTCCTTAGATGTTCGTACTTTCGAGTAAATCTGAATATAATGCGTTATGAAAAGCGAAGCTCACATATCAGACCGTCTAGTCTTCACAAGGTGTTCTAATCATTTGCGCACATCAGGATTTCGGAACTACAGAAAATAATTTGTACAGCCAACACATACCTTCCTCAAAAACGCTCTCAGGACATGGAATGAACAAAGTATTATGTTAGAATGACTGTGCGTAGACTGCACAGCTGAAATTTCGGCCGAATCCATAATGAAAGTGCGTGTAGCATAAGTACCGCACATTATCTCTTTAAAACATTCCAATAGCTTTTTGACATCTTCGAGTCGTTCTTGACTGCAAAGAGCATACATAACAGTGTGCCCTTGCCCAAGACTATCAGTCACCACTAGCTGGAACAGTGGAAAACGTTAAGATAAATTTATTACTAATCGTTATTCACCCGACATTATTGGTCTGATAAGTCCAATCAATACATATTACCTCCGGGAACGCGTGGTAAACAGCTATTTGCTCTCTGCGGCTGAAGCAAATCATAGACATGTTCCCATTTTCATTGAATACTTTAACTTCAGTATTTGCTAGAACGCGCTGTAAAATGTCATTGATATTTTTACAAACTAAACTCAATTAATTACAATGTGAGTTCAACAACCTGGGTACAACTGTGAACCCATTCTGGCGATAACGTCCTTGGTAAGCTGTTTATTGAACTTCCAAGAAACCAGATACCGTAAGCCACGAGTTGTTGTATTACTCAGTAGAAACGTTCTTAAATACAAGCGTTCACTTGAGGTCAACTGTCGTTTCAATGGATCGACAGAAATATATGCTTCTGTGCAAGGATGGTTGTGCACGGTTTTAATAGAGGTGAGTTTCAACTCACCATTTACTGCCCGGACCCCAAATGCTGATTGACAATGGCAATATTTCGACCTGAAGGATAAATTCATTTGAAGTAAGGCATACGTAGATGACCGACGTCGTCTCCTTTGCCTAGGTTGTGTTGGCGAGTTAGAAGTTGTATGCTCTTCAGAAGAATGATTATTATTATCATCATCCACATCCTGAACGTAAGCATCTGACTATGACGAACGGCGTTTACGTCCATATGTACAGACATATCTCACGAAAAAGTACTTTAGAGTTGGATCATCACTGTTCTTTTTGCATACTGACATAACGTACTTAGTATGCGTATACTAAAAACATAATTATTAACCACAGAAGTCATATTACCTTATGCACTTCTTTCAAACAGGTCTCAAAATTGTCCCAACTTGTAAATCTTCGATATAACATAATATCATTGAAGATTCGTCCTATATCATGCATCATCACGATGGCATCGTCTTCGTTACTTGAAGAATGAACGTTACCAAACACCGTGTGGCTGAACTCAATTCAAATCTAAAAATGTCTCGATTTGACCGCTTCTGAAAATTTTCACGAATTGTCGATGTGACGCACCAATCATTTTGCGACAGTTCGACCTTCAAGTGCTCGCAACCCCCATCAGTGGACGATACCCTAGGAGCGTCGCCTACCAAGACTACTGTTGTCAATTTAATTTAATTTGTTTCAGTTAAAGTGTCTTTGGTCTGAATCGAAATACTTTAGTTAAGGTTTGAAATCTTGCTAAGGTTTGTGTTCGTGTTGTTAATCGTTTATTTGATAACACGTCTTTTCAGTTACCGTGAGTACTGGGATTTGCCCTGACGATTTTATCTATCTGTATTGATGAGGAGAGGCAACTTCAACCAATGTACGACGTTGCATATATGTAAATAGCCATTATTGAAAACGTTGATAGTGTTGCAATATAAGCACTGCTATATACAGTGCAGCACGCCACTATTTTGACTGAGAATGCCTTTTTTAACTTCTTCGTCCATGGGTTAATTGTAATGAAAACATACAAGTTCTGAGTTTTTTGTACGGTTTTCTTTTCTTGTTTACTTTGTAATGACCTACTTTTATTAAGAGAATGCGATTGGTGTCATGGAAACAATTATTATAACCACTCGTACCAGGGATCGTTTTTCCATAGTTGTTTGTTTAACTGTACCAAAACACATACACTTTTCTGTCGGTTGTGACCTTGCGCAAGTTCGGTTAGGCTCAGTAGCTACTGCTTTGGTACGATCTCGGTATTCTTTCGATACCACGAGATCGCCAACAAATACATCTCGACTACAGCCATCAACTGCCTTCTGATATTTGGCTTACGGGGGGTCTTATCGGCTAACTGGCACGTAGTCTTCCTGTAGTGGTGATCATAGTCAACCGCGACTCGACGTCACACAATAACTTATTTCAGGGAGGGTTTCAATTTCATCTTAGAGTATGGGAGGAAAAAAGCACAGAAATTTTCGAAGGCCAAAATACGAAATCATGCGGTAAGATATTTTCACAGTCTGTTCATTCGTTCTTGCAGACATTCAAGACATGAATTCAATTTCTCCGTTGTTATATGGTTACCTCTTTTACCACTTTTGATTATTTGTATCGGAGATTACTTCAGAAAGAAGACATCATCGAAAAAAGATGTGTGCTGGGAAAGCCTGAATAATAACGTATCGGTTTCAAGAGAGGCAGTGGATTGGGTCTCAGCTGAGATTTCTCATCTTCGTAGATTATTTGACCTCATGTGAGTGAAAATATCACTTTTCTATATTATACTAATCAAATTTGGATTTGTTTAAGAATTTCTGGCATTTTGAATGCCGCTCAAAAAACTCATTCACGATGGAGTGAGTAAAAAAGTGGTCTTCGTTATCAACTGGATAAAGCTGTTGCGCAAAATAAGTTTAATTTGGGTATTTAGTCTTCCAGTATGTAGTTTGTTTAGGGAAGAGTAGCTAATAAAGTATTTACTTACATCTTTACTCTATAATTCATCATTTGATATTTATTAGTTAATCATCCAAGCCTGCGTCAATAATGTATCATCATGGTACCTGTTAGTTTAATTAACTATTCTTTTCGGGATATCCAGTAAAATTATCTTTACTGGGAATGTTTTTGAGCTTTGTGTGGATGTGTCAAGGTGTTGATTCCTAAACTGTCGGACGTTGTACATATATTAGAAATTGCCAAGACAATCCATCATCAATAAATCTATATTAATTATTAACCACTACTTCCAATGTAACTAATCTGATTTTGTAATTGAATTCCTGCTTTTGAGACTGATTGGTTGTTTAAAAAAAGAAAATCATAGTTTGATTGATAACAAAAAGAAAGTATTGAACGATGTATTCATAGTACGAACGGACATTAATAATGAGTACACTTCCGGTTATTTAATTTCTTACTTATGTATTGTTAGTTATCCGTACTATTCTATTGAACGATGTAGTTCAGGAAAATATACATAAAAAAAAACAACTAACATCACCATAACAACACTTACACAAAATCCAGCTTTTATCAGATAATACTAAGGAACTTTTAACTTTTCTGTTTCAGTGAAAGTACTTCAATCAGAACAAACAAGAAGGATCAGATAACAAGTAGGTTTTGTTGTTCGTTATTCAATAATAGTTGTAATAATAAGAATGATAGTGGCTTTATTCATTACTGTGTTCAGTAGAATATTGGACTTTTATGATAAACTATCTCCACAAGTTCCTCTTACTCTCCTAAAGATGCGAAATATATCTGCATACGTGTATAAGTGAAATAGGTACAGCAATTATCTCTGCGTTGATCTCTTGTTACTGAACGCCTTCTAGTTCTTTTTTAAACAATGCTTTAAAGTAAATCACTTTAAGTTGAAACAAGTAAATTTTCGAATGATTTATAGTTTGTAGTTTAAATGTTTGAGAAATAGGCAGTGAAATACTGAGATTTGAACATTTCTAATCTGGATTATACATTGTCTAATAAAATATGTAATTTTTATTCATCTCACATGATGGCAAATATATTGTGTCATGTTAAACATACTTGTAAATTTACACACTTCGATCAGATGGATGACAAAATGGCGTGAAAGATAACGAAAACATCTTAACACATTTTATTGTAATAAAATCCAAGATATCAATCAGTTAGGTGATTCAGTCATTCAATCTACGTAAACGAATGAAAGTACTTCCACTGCGTTCGGAAGAATAGGCAAATATTTAACCGCAATTCGCAGTCTTTTTTGATTAGTCGAATACCGGTAATTGGTGAGTTATTCACTGTCCTTTACATCAATTTCAAACATATGTCACAGATGATACCTCCGTTTATTTTCATTTGAGTATAAATTAAGTTGGTTCAGTGGTGAATATCAATCTTGTGAGTTGATAGAGATTTGTGGTAGATACAACAAGAGCCACTGAACTTCGGATGTATCTTTTTCACTACACGGTATCATGATCTGTGTGAGTATTTTCTGAATGAACTCTCTCACTAATTAACGTATGATATTCTGCTTATTAGTGTTTACATATTCTTATAACCTCAGCGTTTTTTTAAAAAAGTGAAAGTAATTGCCTCCTACTTATGACAGCAATACTGTTAAATTACTTGCGATGCTTCATTAGATTACGAGTTCGCCGAACCTGCTAACCTGTCTCACTAACTGGAAAGAGGAGTCCAGGTTCAGAAGAGGGAAAAATGTTTTCCAGAAGCACAAACAACAAGTACAGCTCAAGTGAATATATACCGCATAAAGATGTCTTTGAGAAACGTTACAAAATAGCATGTTAAAAGAGACAACGAGACAATAAAACTTAAGAATCTCCCAGATAGGAAATACAAAATGAATGTGTAAATGGACGCTTTGGCGCGACAACAATAAATTCAAATTTTCAAAATAAAATCACAAAAACAAGACATTTACTGGGTCAGTTCTGGATATCTAGCCTCATCAACATTACTAGATATTGTCAAGAATGTTTTGGTTTGGAGCACAATTTGATTCTTTAACTAAGCAAAAGACATACGGATGAAAGAGATGATCAGGTAAACAGATGGAAATAAATTCAAATTTATTCATCAGATCAAAGATATCATCTCCATGCACTTTTATGTACAGAATGACGTTAGATTGCAAATGAGTTAAAGTTTATTAAATAAGGGAGACGAATGTCAAAATAAATTATACCGTAATGTCAAATCTATCCAGGCGTCTAGCCACGTAATCGAAGTTCGAGTTGAAAATAAAGACTTATCTAAGAATGATTCTATCATTAAAAAATATATAAATTGGTTACAAATCTCAACTTATGAGGCTTTTGTATCGATCAAAGCATCTATATGTACGGAAAGGAAACAAACTTTCAGAAATGTTTGACTAATGTCTTACTTACCTGCTTACTTATGCCAGTTACTCGTAGTGCAGCATAGGCCATCAAGCAGCATTCTCCAACCCACTCTGAGCCTTCCTTTTTAGTTCTTTGCAATAGTCGTTCATTCTTCCCTATTTCCCAGCGTGATGTGTTGTTTGGTTTTGCTTTCCTCCTTTGGCCTTGGGGATTCCAAGTAAGTGCTTGCATTTTCACGCATTTGGATGCTTTGCTTAATGTGTGTACTATCTACTTCCAGTAATTCTTTCTGATTTACTCCTCAGCTGGAATTTAGCTTGTTCTCTCCCACAGTAGGTTGTTGCTGATAGTGTCTGGCCAACTAGTTCAAAGTATTTTGCTCAGACAGCTGTTAATAAAGACTTGTATCTTCTGGATGATGGCTTTCGTAGTTCTCCAGGTTTCCGCTCCATATAGCAGAACTGTCTTCACATTCCTATTGATAATTCTGAAGTCGATTTTGGTTGAAAATTGTTTTTAGATCTGGATGTTCTTCAATTTTAGATATGCTTTTCTTGCTTTGCTGATCCGTGCCTTCACATCTGCATAAGATCTACCGTGCTCATCAATGATGCTGCCCAGATCTGCAAAGGTTTCTACATCCTTGAAAACTTCGCCGTCAAGTGATTTGATTGGTGCGTGTTGTTTTGTATCAGAGAGTCTTGTTTTTTCTTCGTGTATGTTGAGACCTATTGCTGCTGGCACTGCTGCTACACTGGTCAGATCATCTGCGAAGTCCAAGTTGTCCAGCCGCATCCCATCTGTGCACTGTATCTGGTACTTCCCCCCAAATGTTGACGTTTTGATAATCCAGAAGAAAGAGGAAGGGTTTTTGAGTAAGCAACCTTGCCTGACACCGGTTTTTAACTCGAACGAGTCTGCGAGCTATCTTCCATGCACGATTTAGCAGTTTAATCCATCATAATAATTCCATGTGATGTTGAATATCTTCTCGGGCACGCCGTAGTGTCGAAGACGCCTTCGTAGTGTTTCCCAGTCCACTCTATCATATGCTTTCTCGTAGTCAATGAAGTTGATGTAGAGTGATGAAATAAATTCAGTTGATTGTTCCACGATGATCCTTAATGTTGCGATTAGGCCGGTACATGACCTATTCTTACGGACATTAGCCTGTTGGTCTAGATGTTGGGCGTCTACAGGGTCCTTCATTCTGTTGATGACTTTTGCTAGTATTGGGAGAAGAGCGATGCCTCTGTAGTTCTCACGCTTGCCTGTTCTTCATTCCAAATCTCGCTGAGGAGAATGTGGAGTATCTTTGCAGTTACTGCTACCTCTGCCTTCAGTGCCTCTGCTGGAATGTTGGCTGGTCCTGCTGCTTTGCCGCTCTTGATTTGTCTGATGGTTATGCTGATCTCATTAAGTGATGATGGGTCAATATTGATTGGGAGGTCTGTGGGCGCTACTTCCGTGTTGGGTTGGTTCAGTGGGGCTGGTGAATTCAAGAGTTCTTTGAATTGTTCTGCCCACCTGTCTCGTTGTTCTTCAATGTTGGTGATTACCTTGCCTTCCTTGCTTTTCACTGGTTGTTCTGGCTTACGATAATTTCCAGCGAGCTTCTTTGTTGCATCATGCAATTGTCCCGTGTTTCTTTCTCTTGTGACTTTTGCGACATTATTGTTTGATCTTCCACACATGATGCTCCTATTCACTTCCTTGTTTACTTTTGTATATTCAGCTTGTGTCTTGGATTTCTCTACTCTTGTATGGCTGTTATTAATTGCTGCTTTCCTTCTGCTCCTCCTTTCTTGAATCTTATCCAGTGTATTAACAGTGATCCATTCCTTGTGATGGTGCTTCTTGTGACGCGGAACCTCATGGCATGTTGAAGTGGTTGCCTCCTTGATCCCCTTCCAATTGTTCTTCATGTTAGTTCTCTCCATTGAGTAGATCGCGAAAGGCCTGGATAGCATCAGTGCAACGCCTTGTGTAGGTGGAACATTCCCTTTTTCATGGATGGAGTATAACAGCAGGTTCCTTGAAGCTAGTCTCTGTTGTGTAACCTACATACAGCATGTTTCACTAGTTCCAAACACATCCAGGTTGTATCTTTTCATTTCAGTAGCAACTTGGATGACTCCCAGAGTTCCATGTACCTAAATTAATAGTTGGTCTGGTTGTCAGACGGGGCAAATAATCTCGGCTTTCACCATGAGGCGTTATAACTCTTCTAAATGAAGACCTAACTTTCAGGGCAGAGTTTGAATGATTTGAATTATGTTTTCTGGTTAGTGTTTTTCAGCGGGTTAGTTTTCTACGGGATGTGGTCGCTAACCTCATGCCCAACCCTCCTCCTTTATCCGGGCTTGGAACCGGCAGTAGCCCGCGGAGGGACTCCAGGCGGAGTCCGCCTAATAACTGGTACAAAATGAAGGTTATCCGAGACCTATTGTCTCATATCTGATTGGTTCGTCCATAAATTATAGTCTCACTGAAATGTTCAGTTTGTATTGTGTGTAATAATAATGATAATAAGGTGAAATATTTAACTTTCATGTTTTTATTCTAGATGTAGATCGAATAGGTATTTCTCATGAAACACTTAGACGTCGTGTTTTGAATTACATTTATGAAGCACGATACACTTTGAACAATTTACGCAAAATTTTTACCCAATTAAAAAAAGTCAATCAAAAGGAATTGGACACTGAAACAGTTTCATCGATACAAGCATCGTTAGTTCGTTATCGACAGAATATGGAGGAAACTATTTCACACTTGCAACTTATTCTTAACAAACTAGGTGAATTAGATGAATTTTCACAAATCAGAAAGAATGGCTTAAATAAGCTTTCACAGCGATTACAGGAGAAGATTCAAAAACAACAGGTTAGAATTTATTACTTTTGTATCACTTTGGAATAGGTCAAGTTCTTAAACTTGTAAAAAGAAGTGGTTGATTGATCGAATTAATTTTTACAAAAGTACGGCATTAAATAAGACCTTTGAAAGGACGTTCCATTTGTCCTGAATTACTTATGGGAAACTTTTTGCATAGAATGAACAGTGAATATACAATTGACTTGTTCTTTACTAGGTTCCAGTCTAAAAGCTCATTCACCAAAAGTCAACGCAACTGAAATCGAGATCACGTGATTCACCTGAATAACACATATTTTATTGGACTATCCGTAAATACAAAGGGTAGGAAAATATATATGAAAAATATAATATCTATCTCACTGATTGGAATCATGAGTCAATTGAGGCTAGACCACCATGGAAAACCTGGAAGCACTTGACAGCCATTTCGTCCTAGTATGGGACTCCTCAGCAGTGCGTATCCACGATCCCGCACCCCACGAGACTCGAACCCAGGACCTATCAGTCTCGCTCCAGTCGCTTAACGAACTAGACCACTGAGTCGGCCGGCATCCAATGGTGTTAATGTCTAACTTTAACCAATCCACGAAATCCAACTTCAAGTGACTCATGATTTCAATCAAAAACTTAATAATCTCCACAACACCTAAACTAATATTTGCCTTGTTGACTCATTTTTTTCTATCCTCTAGCTACTGTTCAGTATGTTATTTATGTCTCTGTTTTTCCCTGTGTTGTTACTCTGTGTTGTTTATTTTGTATACTAACAGTGTTAATTTATGTTTTAAAAAACAGATAAAGTTTATCAAGCCAAATAGCTTCCTTGTTCTGACTTTGGCTAAATCAAGAATTTATGCTCGACATTCTAGAGAATAGCTCAGAGTTACACTTGTAGGAAATTGCTTCCTACACTGATTATCTATGATTCTGTCTAAACCAATAAACAATCATTGTGCACTGTAATCTATATGACCATTTATCGATTGAAAAGTGAAACATAAATTCGAATTCATTTGGTTGGCCCCATTTGTATTCTCGGTCACTACACTGTCACCTATACGACAATTTGTTAATTGAAAACTGAGAAACAAGTATCAGTATGGTACGATATAAAGTAAATAATTCAATCATCACCACTATATATATCTGCATATCAATAATATCGATTCTTATTTAGTCGAGATTATCCAAACCTGGATTAAGTAGTTCACTATAGTTATGTTGTTAGTCGATCACTTACTTACTTACTTACACCTGTTACTCCTCGTGAAGGAGCATAGGCCGCTCACCAGCATTCTCCATCCAACCCTGTCCTGGGCAATCCTTTCTAGCTCCGTCCAGTTGTAATTCATTGTTTTCACTTTGAAATAGGTTTCAAGTCAGACAACGACCGCAAGATCAGAATGTATTCGTTAAATATAACCTGAAATGTATCAAATGTAAAATTAATGACGAACGTTATCAGCCTTTAAATCATTCTCATGTTTGTATCTATGAAATTGTTGTGAAACAATTTTACAATGTGTTTGATTCTTAATAATAAATCAAAAATTTGGATTTTACCTTGTGATCATATACATATAGAATCCATCAGATTGTAAAAAGGCCAAATATATAACATTCGACTTCACTAATCTGTGTGGATTGGGTTGTTGTATGCATCAACTTATGTACTGTTTACAATTGGCTCTTGAAAATGAACGTGTTCTAGTATTGAAGAAACATTATCCTGGAGATATATTTCGAGAATGGCTTCATCAGAACATGTTACCACTTTCTGAAAAATGCAGTTACTTGGACTCAGATGGTAGATCAGGTGTGTAAACGATGTATTTATCATTAGTTTGTTGTAAATGTCAGACCTCAGTGATTATCTTGAATTGTTTACTTGAATATTTTTATTTACTTTTCGACAAAACAACACGATACAATAAATCATTGACTAGAACCCATCAAATAACATAAAGCTGTTTACTATCTACGTGAAAGAACGAGTAAACAACCCTTATTATTAGTAATATTTCATGTCCCATTGTTCCTACTAATATGGATAGAACCTTACTCAATCGCCTTTTACAACTGAGTAAGGTTCCGTCTCACAAATCAGCTAATATGGTTAGTTGGTAGGCAGTTGATCTACAAATTACCATACAATTTATCAAGCATAAAAAATTATTTTCATTCTTTTGTTTACTTCAGATAACATCAATTGTCCTTGGATTGTAAAGGCTCCTCAAGTACATAACTGGTTGCCACATGTTCTCCCGATAAATATGAATAAAGAATTATTACGTTTACACGAGGCACCCTTTGTTTGGTTTGCTGGTCAACTAGCAGCCTACATTTTGCGTCCAAAACCACAATTTGCACAATTAATCAATGTAACCTTGAAGAGCTTTAAAACGAGTGGTGATCCCGTTGTTGGTGTGCATATCAGGCGTACCGATAAGGTTAGTGTTTGTTCATATACGTTGTCAGAATGTAGTATGGTGCACTTAGTTGTTCAGAATCTAAACAGTGAATGTTGAGAATGAAAGACACGTTTCCAGTTTTGTCTTTGGATTAAACTACTTTTGATAACTGGGCTGGTCATTCAGAAATCATTATCATCCTGCTGAACAGAATACTGGTTGGTAGATTCGGTTGATTTCGATATACCTGCTGATTGAACAAAGTTTCAGGCTTTTTAAATTTCCCTGAAATTTTTGTGCTTCTTCTGTCGAAGTTCGGACATTTCTCCAATTTGATTTACGCTAAAAATTATCCACAAGCATTTATATAAGCACATCTACGTCAAGGCGAATAACGGCTAACCAACGCCCATACGGGAATGGACTGAAAGTGTGACCGCTTTCCACGGTGTCGTATTTGTCGCAGTTTCTCTTGTGTTTTATGTTTCCCTTGCTTTTATTTGTCATTATAGCTGTGGGCTTTTACAATAAATATTGTACCGGCTTATAGGCTGTACTTACTTCTTATAGTCTTACAAAGCTGTTCGTGATCTTGCTGATGTTCTTCGGATAGAGTAGAATTTCCACCTTTGCTGATGTTTAGTACTGATTTTGTATTTGACGTTATTAAAATAGCCCATAACTATATATACGAATGTACAGCTCAAGTAAATGATTTCGTTGAAAAGAAAATTTTCTTCGCTGAATTCTCTTTTTCTTATTTGACGTAACCTTTAACAGACATACCTTGTTGATATTTTGTATCAAACCATTTTTCCAAAATGCATCCAGTTTTTTTTCCCTGTGATGCTTTAATGTCTTTACTGTTTTGAGTAGTTTTTGTAAATATCATATTTTTGCGTCAGTACATTGTCGCTGCTATAAGTGAGTATTCAACTAGTGTAGTTTGTCTTTCTGCATACTCAGTTTGAAGTTTCTTGTGTTGGTTGAATCTCCATTGTTTTCAATGATCTTTGTCAAATAGATTTGAAGTTCATATGAGAGAATAGTGTATAAAGAGTCAGTTTGCCAGCTGACTTTACTATAGAAATTGAGTAGGAATATCAAGTTTAAACGTTTTGGTGTAAATACTTCACGAAGTATAAAGTTTATGAAAATATAAAGAGGGTTGAGTTTGGAGCATCTTGTCATTGACAACTATAGTTTAATATTTTCGAAATTGGATGTTCTCATGATCACATCTTGCACTTGTATTCTTTTTTTATAGTTAATTTGGGAGGCTCTGTTTCATAACTTATCCGAGTACATGGAACACGTGGATAATTTCTTTGATTCACAAAGTGTTCATCTCTTGACAATGTCAAAGAGACATGTAAGTCAATAAGATGATCTCAGTTGTATTTAAACAATAAATGGAACTTCGTTAATTAATTAATCATATTTCAATTCATGATTAATCACAATGAATGTGTTATTCATTATGATGTGTTGTACTTGATCAAATGTCAATTGAATTAAGATGTATTCTAAGATGGATAGTGGCTAGCAGTGGAATCCAGGACGCGCGTTTCGTCAGGACTCAGTAGCTAAGTGGATAACGCGATGGCGTTTGAAGCGAACGGTACTGAGTTCGAGTCCCAGAGTGAACATCAACTCTCTGAGATGCAGGTACATCCAGCTGACGAGTCCCAAACAGGACGAAATGCGCGTCAAACTGGATTCCACTGCTAGCCACTATCCATCTTTGCTTATAATGCTTGTAAATTAAGGCAATATCGAGGCATACGCACAGTATGCACATATGCCAATAAGAGACTGATCGATTTCAGTCCAAAAACATCAATGGGAAGATTCAAGTAAAGCAATATCAATTGAATTAAGATGTATTCTGTTCAAGTGAGTTTATTGAGTTCTAGTTCTTCATTAGTATGTAGTATAATAGTAGGTAAACGATAGTTGATCAGCTTAACTATGGATCTCAGTATTTTCCCTAATGATAAGAATACATAATTCGTAAAATGGATGCACGTATAATTAGATGGCTCAATGACTTAAACAGATTAGGTAAGAAGTGAATGATAAAATTGAAATTGAGTACAACTGAAAGGATGAAAATTACATGTAGAAGGCCAAGGTAATTGAGTACAATTTATGTGCATCCAAAATGAACTTACTGATATGCATGGCCATACTTTTCGTAATATGAAAAGGAACAGGTACATGTGCAATGGACTTTTATGGATGACCTTATAAACCAAATACATGGAGAGTTAGTGTCTAGAACTGATCAAAGCATGAAATGACTAAAGAAGAAATTTCAAACTTATTCTAGTAGTTGAACTGTTCCTACAAATAAAACCTCAGTTAACAAATCGGATTTCTTTATCATCTTCACCTCCATGAACACTTATTAGCTATCAAACGTCGTCATGTGCGTTTGCTTATCTCAAGGCATGTGGACAAGTGTGTAGATATGTCAAACTAAAAAAAAAGCGTTGTTATTTTGAATAAAAAGAATGCAAATAAAACGAGATAATTCTGGAACTCAGCTGAGTTGAGAATAAGTAAACAAACAGACACCGGCCCAATTCATCAAACAATTAGGAAGATTGTAAACAGGTTAAATCAAGAATCAGGTCTAAATAAGAAGGATAACAATAACTATTCAACGTCAAGATCGACAGGACAAGCTGTCTGTCACAAGTGAAGAAACTCCAATAACCCACTTCTGCCTGAAGTTTACAGTAATGATACTGGATACTGAATTTTATAATTTATCTTATCTCATTCAGACCAACTACTTTATTATTATCATTAAAATGAATGAAACTGCCTTGTCATTTTTGAAACTGTTCGGGTATAAATAAAGAGAGATTTGTATCATTGTCTGAAAAAAAACTATTAGAAGAAGTTACTGTGTTCAGTAAAACCGAAATGTTTATTTGGCGACAGATGATTCTAGTGCTTTTACGCAACTTCTCCACAACCATTCAAACTACAATCCGTGTAGATTCCATAACAGTATAAGGCGGTTATTCCAGGTTTTCAGTAGTTGTACAGTTTGGATTTGTTCGTGATTAAAATAATATTGAACAATCTGCACAAGTTTCATTTCAGCTACTACAAAAGCAATTAAGATGTTAGGAAGCAATTATGTAAGGTGTACCGTCCATAACATAAATTGTAGTGTTATATGGTGTTTTGTAAACAAAACGTGGTGATTTGGGACAGTTAGGGACAATAATGCCCTCAAATTCCCTGGTACAGTCGAGAGTAGGAAGAGTCAGCTCTCCCGCTCTAAGTGCTCTCATATGGTCACGCGTATATAGCCTCTGCCAGGGAAGTCCTACTCACTGCCTTCTCATGGCGGCGTTACTGTTTACAAAAATGAGAGGACGAAAAGCGAATGTCCAGCGCCTTAACCAGATCCCAAACTAGTGGTGCACATGGTTTCCAGTATCCTGAGGGAACAAATGGCGTATAAAACAATCGTTGGTCACCGGCTACCATGAGAATGCATCTCCTTACGTTGCTCCACTGCCTTGTGGATCAGACCTTCAGGTCGAAGGCTCATGGAGTGGCCCCCTAAGAAAACCAACTGCTTTGGTTTGGGCACCCGGGTAGTATCACATCCCTCACACATATCAAATGAGATTTGTGTGATGCATATGTATTTGGTGCCTCCTTGTACCACTATCTATGTGTTCAAATAAATAATAAATAAGTGAATTAACTTTGTGTATCTACACTCCATATCAAGTATCCCGCGTACAACCTTCACAGAGTATGTAACTTTCTCTGTGGTTATCACCTCAATTTACGAAATATTTTATCTTTTTTTGCAAACCCTTCCTAGCTAACTCAATATCATATGGAATAATAAACAATCTTAGATGGTGGTTGGAGGTAGTCAACAGGAAACCCTGGACCCGGGTTTCGTGCTACTTGGCACTCGTCAGCAAGGTGTACCTGTAATCACGAGGGAACTGGTGCTCCCTGGCGGATTCGATCTCGTGTCACCCAGCTTCACAGTCAGAGACGTTACCACTGAGCTATCCGAGCCGTGACTAACCTCCTGCAGGACTGAGATGTAATCACAATTGATTGATCACTGGGTGGTGATCAATCTCATGCTTGTCTAGTCCTTATTAGTGGTGGCCACATTGCAACATGATCGATAGCATTCAATCTGCACTAATAAGGACTAGACAAGCATGAGATTGATCACCACCCAGTGATCAATCAATTGTGAATAAACAATCTTATTCGTTAAATAATTTTATTCAGGCAAGCATCATTATGTTCTCTAACTCATTTATTACCAAGATAAATGACACAATACAAATAATCCAAAGACATACAGTAATGTGAATATAATCCATTCTTAATCTCAGACTATAAGTACGTGAATAAGTTCTCATCTTAATTCATGACACATCCTCAACATCTAGCAATCGTTGATTACTCAGTCAGTAATCTTAGAAAAGTAAGCTGATCATGTAATGGGCGAAATCATGAATTTACGAAATATACAAGTACTTGGTGTTGTTTACTTGTATCTCCCCATTGTTATCTAGGACTGCAAATGATTAGTCTCTTGTTGTCATATGTGCATCGTGTGCGGAATGCATCGATATTGTCTTAGATCACAAGCTTGCGGGTACATCCAGCTGACTAGTCCCAAATAGGACGAAACGCGCATCCTGGATTTCACTGCTAGCCAAATATGTAACTACTGTTAGAAGTCAGTCTTCATGTCATATGATTTCCGTGATTTTAAAACGTTATAATGAAGATGTAATAAGATATTGCTTTAGCAAATCAATCAGATCAAATGCACTTTGTCGATGAATTAACCTACTAGTATCAAAACCTTCAGTTAATCATTCCATTTGAATATGTGTACCTCTGCAAATTGTTAACTAATCTACTGGAAATCCCAGTGGGTTTACCGTAGACGAATGTATTATGTTGTGTTAAATTCCCCAGCTAATCAGTACAAAGTTGCACTATATTAAAATCAATCGGTATTCTAAGCAAGATGAACATGATAATGCCAAGTGGTTAGTTGTCTGCATGTTTTGATAATGAGGTTTTACAAATATCAAAACGGCTACATTCAGTTAATCTGACTCATTGAGAAATGTAATTCTGACAATTATGTTCATTTATTGTAGTGTGAAGGAAACATGGAAAGTTTCATCGGGATGCACTGGCATTATCCTGAAAGATTTTCAGAATATTAACATACAATGATTCAACGTTATGATATCAGTTCAATAAGAAACAGTAGTGACTTAGTGCTAAATATTGAATAAAGATTATTTGAGAACAATTTGTTAGTTAACATGTAAAGCAAAATGCTGTGAAATATTCACTTGTTATTGTAGATTTAAGGCTGTGAAGTTTTCTTGTTTACATTACAGTTCAATCTCAGGTTGACGGTCATTAAAAGTGTATGAGCAGTGGGCATGTTTGGTTCAAGAATCGATCTTGGCTCACTTGTCTAAAGATTCGACTTGATTTGTGGTGCTGAAATTTACTGAGTTTATTCCATAAGGGAGTCATTGATATAGTCCCTTAATAAAACGAGATAGTTGTTCTATTCACCCTAGTTTTCCACTGCTGTCTAATTGAGTCTAGACCATAATGCAAATTATGAACTAAGAAGAACTCACTCTATTTTTGTTTTTAAAAGTTCGGTATGAATGAGTGGGAATTGTGTGTCATGAGAACAGGAAATGTTTCCAATGTTCTATTATATCTAGTTGTATCACTTCGTATTCAGACTGACTACTTCATCATCATTATTACTATTATACGGAATGAATCTAATTTGTCATTTTTGAAACTGTTAGGACATGAATGTAGAGAGATTTGGATCAGTTTCTGAAAGAATCATTGGAAGAAACAATTCTGTTCAAGCTAAGCGAAGTGTTTACTTGTCGACAGATGATCCGAATATTTTTACTCAACTACCCTACAGTTATCCAAACTACACCGTCTATGGTAGTCAAGGTAGATCGCAGTCAGCTAATTTGAATATGCGGATGTCAGTTAATTCAATGAATAATGCAATTATTGACATCATTGCACTTTCAATGACGGATTTCCTTGTGTGTACATTTTCATCGAATGTAAGTAATATGTACATGTTGACTTGTATTGACGACAATATTACACGTTAATTTTACAGAAGTGAAGTTGTTATTACCACAAGATTAAATGGAAATCACTGATTAGTAATGATTGAGAAATGTAGAGGGTTTTTACCAACCTGATGTAGGTCGACTTCCTTTAACAGCAGCATTTGATACTCCATGTGTGCAATTGGTAAATGTTTATCTCTTAGCTCTCTGTGAAAAATATCCTTTTGCATGTGAATATAAAATCACAGCATGAGAAAGCAACTATTATTGGATCCAGACCAGTTTACAATAAAGCGCAAATTTTTGTCTACTTCAGTGCTATCAGGTTTAATATGGCGGTCTAATCTAGATCGGTTCATGATTCTAATGAAATTCAACAATGTTCACAGCCCCAAACTGAATGTGTTTCAATCAGTAAGTCAGTCAACAACGTAGAACTTCGTACGTGTGTACATAAGTTCAAGTTGCCATACCACATTTGTACAGAGATACGCCCAACCTCTGTACCACTGAGTCGGCAGCGAACGGTGTTAATGTCTAACTTCAAACAATCCATGAAATTGTGCGAACATCTTCCATTGTACTGAGGACAGTCAGACTGAAGGCCTTGATTTCTAATGCCGTGAGCGGGATTGTGGATGAACACTTCTGAAGAGCCCCACAATAGGACGAAATGGCCGTCCAGTTCTTACAGGTTTTCATTAGTGGTCTAACATCAATCAGTTCATGATTTCAATCAAAAACGTAATAATCTCCACAACCTTATGCGGATAATAACAACAATTCGATTATTTTCTATTTTTCACAATATATTACTATAATATAACCTGTTACCAAGATTCTATTACCATTTGATTAAATATACGATCAATACTCTATATAAAAATGGAATCAGTTTATGACAGGTACATGATAGATAACCAAAAATAAAAAATAAATATTTAGCTTAAACAATGCCTTAATCAATACAGCCCGCGCGCAAAACCAGTAGGCCCTGGGTTCGAGTCTCGCGGGGGACGAGGTCGTGAATGCGCACTGCTGAGGAGTCCTACAATAGGAAGAAACGGACGTCCAGTGCTTTCAGGTTTTCCATGGTGGTCTAGCTTCAACTGACTCATGATCTTAACCATTGAAATTGATTGAATATTTGAATATTTATCAGTACTTATATGTGTGTGAAATCAATCAAAGAGTCGAAACACATGAATGAGTTCTGCCTGGAAATGAGCGAATGTTGAAGAAATGCACAAAAATCGAAAGTGATTGCTACGAGCGTTAAGAGAATGTTATTACAACGACCCTGGTTAACCTTAGAAAGCTGCTACATCTTTCATTTGATGCTAAAAGACACTCCCGATTTTACGATGAATCTATTTTATGAAGGTATCGTTAATATGCTCGAGTTGCCAATCAGTCATTAGTATGATACAGTGTGAGTGAAATTGAACTACAACATATAAGATTACATTTGTAAACAAGAGATGGAGGACAAATGAATGTAGAAAGTGACGAATGGACTGATTAGTGTGATAAGCTGTGGATTTCTTCTATCTTAGATGATCTTGATTATTGTGTCCAGTTGATTGTTGACATTTCACATCTCTTCACAGAAATACTACACGAAACTTTCATATAATATATTCTGACTGGAGTAGAGTGATCACATAAGAGTTGACAGACTTCCGACTATCCGTATTAAGGAAACGATAGCTCGACTGGATTACTTGAATTGCTCAACAGATAATCACCTACAAACATAAATCTGTTGATATTGTACCAAGTTAATTTTCCCGGGTGATTTGATTCGTTTAAGTGATTTAAAAATCTATTTAGGTGAATGGTTAAGATGAAATGAGCCCGTGACTACTAGACACATTAGTGATGATAATGAATAATTCAAAATGCAGGCATCTCTTTAAGTTCCTAGATTTGTACAAGATGAAAATGTGTGCACGAACGCTTAACCACTGGACCACTGAGCCGGCATCCAGGTTTTCCATGGAGGTCTAGCTTCAACTGACTCATGATCTCAACCATTGAAATTGCTATAATATCCACCAAACCCCTTCTGATACTAAACAACATATGCATAATGGTGACTGGTTTCAAGAGGTATTTCCTGGAGTTCTAATGAGAAGCAGTGATCAGTGGAGTTCAACCGATTCTGCTGTGTGATACTAACTCACTGAAGACAATGATGGATGTGTCGCTCAATTTCGTGGATTAGTTTGAGTTAGACATCAATACCGTTGGATGCCGGCAGGTTCAGTAGTCATTTAAATCCGTTAAGCATTTTGTTTAAAATTTATTGATGGTTTCTTGTCACTAAGAATGTGGTATGTGCTACTGATATCGACAGATATAAGTAGTATGTATCATCAATCGAAAGTGAAATGCCTAACGACAGAAGGTCAAGAAGTTCAGTGATGAAATGAGAACAAGAACAAAGAATGATTAGTGTAGAAACAAAACAACAATGAAGTATTCACTTTATGCTTCTCAGATTTTACTAAGCGATTCTACAATGTTGTATTTAAATATATTCAATTGTCGCTACCGATGTTCTTGTTCACTACAAGAATGTGTATGTGTGGGTGGGGTGGGGGGGGGTAGTAATCATTATATTGAAATTCCATTGTGTTCATTACAATTCGGTTACTTCAATACAAATAATGTCATTCCGAATTATTAAATGAATGAATGAATGAATGAAATATACATAAATAATGCGCACACAGTGAGTATACTTTTGAGAAGCATTTCAATGGTCTATATTACTTAATTGATTATATGTTTATAAGTATACTGGCAAGAATTTGAGTACAATTAAATTTCTTATTGAATCATTTTATATATGAGTTAACAATGTCATTACTAATCTGATTTAAGTATATCTGATCAAGCATTTTGGTTTATACTCACCATCAATTATAATTGTCATAATCATGCTGTGAACTACTAATAGGTCATATAAATGAAAGCATACTCCTCCTCCTACTACTCTTACCCCTCCTCCTACTCCTCCTCCTGCTATTACTACTACTAGTAACACTACTTGTAATTGTTGAAAGAAATGACGTATCTTCTTTTTTACTCACTTCTAATGGACCTCTTATGGCGAAGTTTTGATTTTTAGCGGTGATTATACAGATTACAATATCAATATGATTCTATATGTCATTAAATATATATACATACATAAATGTTTCTTTCTCAGTACATGTCATGTAGTTGCTCAATAAAACTTATCTGCAAATAGTTATACTGTTTAAATAAAATTCAGTAGTTCAAATTTTTCACTTCAAAAAGTATCCATTCAATCAGGAGGGGATTTTGTGAAGATTTTAGTAATTTAATACTTAAATTCACGACAATTTTCTTCCTTGTATGAGACTCCTCAGTAATGAGTATCCACTATCCCGCACCTTGCGACTGAAATGTGTTTGGATATAACTATTGTTATGATTATAGCAAAGTTTCATGTTTTGATCTGTTTGTTCAAGTTATGAAATGAGAATAGTCAAAATTGTTTGTTGAGTAAAGATGAAATGACACCTATCTAAACACTATAAATTGTTGATTCTGTAGATCGGCTTGGCTGAATTCCCTATATCGACTTTTCTACATAAATTTATGTCTTATATATCATGATTTCTTAATGAGAATCATTGCCTCCATGGCCATGACTGACATCTAAAATGTTACGTAGCATGATATAAGTTTGTTTCGGCTTGTTGTATCTTTTCAACTAGACTTATTTTATTGTTTTAATTTAGATACTGAGAAATCATGTGATGGTTCGAGTCGGTGGTGGCTGGGATACACTGAGTCATTTCTTATCAAAATACGATGAATGTCGTAAAGTTAATCCATGTAAGAATGCTTTCTATTCAGTTTTGAAGTATTGCAAGGCTTTGCTTGTTTGATTGTATCAAAACATTTTACATTTCGTATGTTATTAGATCATACTTTAACGATGTAGGGTTAGTAATAGTAATTATATGTTTATTAATTGAGATTAGTGTGTTCTCTTTGCCTGAGTTTATGTCATCAATCCTACCGATAACCAAGTATGATAACGTTGCTTGAAGAACTATGGTAACTTCGATTTTTTGACGACGGTCATTAGATCTGGTTCTCACTTACGTACTTACTTAGGCCTGTTATCGCCAATAGAGCATAGGCCGCCGACCATCATTCTCCAACCAACTTTGTCCTTGGCCTTTCTTTCTACTTCTATCCAATGTTGTTCATTCTTCTTATGTCTATCTCTATTGCTCGGCGTAATGTGTTCGTTGGTCTTCTTCCTCTCCTCCTTTGGACTTAAGGATTACGAGTGATGAGGACTTGCCTTGTGACGCAGTTGTGTGCTTTCCTCATTGTGTGTCTTATCCACTTCCAGCACTTCTCCCTGATTTCTTCCTCCACTACTTTGTTCTGATTTGTTCTCTGCCACAGTAGGTTGTTGCTGATAGTGTAGTGTCTGGCCAATGAATCCGAAGTATTTTGTATAGAAAACTGTCAACGAACACTTGTATGTTGTGGATGATGGTTTTCGTAGTTCTACAAGTTTCAGCCCCCATACAGTAGAACTGTCTCCACATTTGTATTGAAAATCGTGACTTTGGTGTTGATTGAAAGACAGTTGTTTTGAGTTCCAGATATTCTTCAATTATAGATATACTGCTCTTCCTTTGCCTATCCTCGCATTCACATCTGTATCAGATCCACCATGTTCAGGTTCTCAGGTATTGTATAATTCACTAAAAGATCAGAAAGTCGTTAATAAAACTATATACAGGCATATATGAAGCAATAAAGATTGATATATTTGTATCTTAATTAGTAGGACATTTTTGTCTTTTTGGTTAGTTGGTTCTTAAGAAGGTAAATCAGTATATGAATTCAGAGAGAAATTATCAACCAAAGGATCATTAAAAACTTGAGGGATACTAAATAGATAGTTACTTCTAGTTAGGGATTCATTAGACCTTACAATGGGATCAATCTCTAAATCACCATCTTTTCACGTTTCTCGAAGAGTATGTGTTCTATCTAGAGCTTCGTTTCTTATTGTACCACGTATAACTTGAACACTTGAACGTTAGAATCCTTCCAAGTGGCAATGAGAAGACAGAAGACAAATGAAAGGAATGTTATTCTAGACAGTGTCAAATTATAGTACAAAACTGTCAGGTATTTATAGTTTTTAGTAAAACTGAAATCATTATTATGGTTATCCAATTCGCACACACGGGGTGATTAGCATTTCTCCAATAGAGAAGCTACACATCGAAACCATCTTCGAGTTTATCCGTGAATGGTCCCCACAATATGATAAGTTTAGGCTGTTGAGCTGAACTCCTATAGTCTAGATTAATTAATTCAATCAAATCTCAGTAATATATATAGCAAGTAAAGAGATTTCTCATTATGAAGTAACATTATTTGAAGAGCTACTGAAATCTAACAAACACTGAATATCTGTTTCTGCAGCAATTTCGAAGACCCTCCCGGTCTCCCACATTATACGAGCATTCCATGTACCTAAATTAATGGTTTCTCTGGTTGTTAGAAGGGGCATCAGCCTCGTGACTTCCGAAGGAATTTGGCTTTCATCATGAGGCGTCATAACTCTTCTAAATGAAGATCTCTTAGATCCCAAAGCAGAGTTTAAATGGTTTGAATGATTTTTCCTGGTATGTGGTCGCTATCCCCATGCCCAACTCTCCTCCATTATCCGGGCTTGGGACCAGCTGTAACCCAAGAGGGGCTCCAGGCGGAGTTATATACTGTATTAACCTCAAGAAATCTTAGTTGCTTGACAAGTATGACACCATTCAGTCTTTGAATCAATATCAAATAATTCACAGTCTGCATATATAGGATATGACATCACATTAGAATCAGGAAGTTAACGATACGTGATTACATGAACATGATGAATGTTGACTCGGTGATTTAATGTCATGAATACAATTTTAATTTTTGATTGAGATCATGAATCGATGAATGTTAGACCACCATTGAAGACGTGGAAACACCGGACGGTTGTTTTGTTCTAGTATGAGGCTGTTGAAGAGTGTGTATCCACTATTTCGGATTGCTTGATGTTAGACAATAACACGTGGTACGTATGCCCGACCACCAATTACTAGGACGCGCAATTGTGACTAGTGTTGGAGTTGGTTGGGAGAAAGTTAGAGGCGGCCAAATCAAAACTTGGTATCAGTCATTGAAGTCACTAACTTCTTATCTGTGTCATGTTGGTAGATGCAGACTACTTGGTTGGGGTCCGTGTGACTATCGTTACCAATGGTTGGAGACTATGTGTGACATGGCTCAGAATCGATCACAATGGCATCGGTGTATACACTCGTTGTCTTCCCTTAAACTATGAGATGAAAATAACTTTATATATTTCTTCACAATTCTTTCTTTTATATATTACTATCATTGAAGTAACTACTTCCGTGAATTTGGTGTTGATCTTGTTGTGCTAATGAGATATGTGAACTTGGACCGATGTGTATAAGTGCCTGGCCTACGTTGTCGCTGACTGACTGACTGACTGAGATACTAAAACCGGATCAGTAGTCTATAAGGTGAACGTACACATGCATGACCAAAAGTTCTAAGTCTGAATCCCATACACGAGCTCGTCAATTCTCACTGTTAAGAAATCGCATACTGGAACAAAACAACTAACTATCCAATACTTTCAGATCTGACATTCATCAATTAATGATCTTATTCCAAGAAATACTTCACATCACTAAAATGTATCTCTTCTAATTTCTTTCTTTCTTTCTTTGATTATAGTAGGATCGTGTAAATTAAATTCAATGAATCAGAATTCCAAATTGAATGAAGATAAAACTCAAAACATGGTAGAATGTAAATTGAATGTAGTAAAAACACGTACATCATCTGTAACTAAGGAGAAACAATCACATAGAGATAATGATCACCATGATGATGATTATAATGATAGTTCTAATGGGAAAGTACAGTTGAACCATAAAACTGATTCAGAATTTATGAAATCAATGAAAAATGTGAATGAAAATCAAATTCTTGCAAAAAAAACTTTAGAAGAACCAAAATGTCTTACTAAATCGCAAGTAAGTAGTATAAAAAGTATTCGATAAATATTTCCAATATGGATTAAGTTTTAGTAGTTAAGATGAAGATTCAATTGAAGTTTGACTATAATGAGAAATCTGGATAGCCGTTTCATTGTATTGTAGGGCTCCTCAGCAGTAGTGTGCATCTGCAATACCGCATCGGGAGATTTGATCTCACGACTTCTCGATTCTCATACGCGAACGCTTAAACGCTAGACTACTGAACCTGCCGGTATCCAACGGTGTTAATGTGTAACTTCCAGCAATCCACGAAATTGAGAGATACATCCAATATTTTTTTCAGTAGGTTAATATCTCACAACTGACCCGTTTCAACACCATTGGTTACGGCTTCTCGCTAGAACTTCAGATAATACCTGTTGAAACCAGTCACGTGTGAGTATATGTTGATTAAACCTTAATAATGAATTGAATATTCGTCAAGACTATAGTTTATACACGAAGCAATCAGATTTAGGATAAGAGGTCTTAGATTTTGATACGAAATTGATTCATCCATTTGGGTGAGTAGCATTTCGGCATTTTAGCTGATATCAGTTCATAATGAAAACTGTAAATCTAGTTCTTAACCCTAACCTAACCATCAAGTGTAAATCATAATTCTAATTCCTTGTATTAATAGACTGTTAACTTTTGGATGTGAATTTCATCGATAGTGAGTGTATGTTATGACTTGTTGCTTTGTGCCCTATCGATATATATATATATAATGTAATGATACCACCGATTAGAGTGGACAACAGTGCCTTATAGCCGGGCCAATGACTCGAAAACCCGTACGATCAGTCTAGAATCCTTATCGGTTCTCCTTCCTGCTTTGACATGCCTGTTAAGTCCAGGACACAAATCTCAGCCTCCGTGATACTAATCATATATTTCAAACATATTGGGTTTATATACAAACCAAATAGACCACATTTTAGCATAAAATAGTTCTCGCCAAATGTGGTTGTGAATGTGGGAGACTGTAATTAATAGACTGGTTATAACTCAATAACCGTAAATCATATCATTATAGTCTATGGATCAAAATAAAGCGTATAATAAGAGGAATATAGATATACATAATGTAGTTGCTGAACAGTTACACAATAGGACTATATATATACTATCAATCCACAGATAGATCCCATCAGTTACCATCCACTATTCTCATCAGGATATAACAGTGACGATGCCATAGGTGTTTTGAGTCTGACAATGCTTTAACCAGTAATACCTTCTACTATGCACCGTACCCACCAAGTGAAATCAAATGTCAGAATCGAGGAGGTTCGAAGATATATTTGATAGACTATCAATATATTGTGAATCGACTGATCTAAACTGGCTAGAGATTGCAGAGGATGTTGAGCAGAGCGTTCCCACTCATGATCTGGTGCGGATGTATGGCCAAGAGTCATCAATTATGTGAGTTTATTAAAACTAATGTGGTCGACATCCAATGTCGAAGGATTACAGATATTGGGGATTTATTTACCGCTACAACAGTATACATATTTGAAGAGTCTTACATTTCAACGAAACATCAATTCTAATCTTCTTTGATTTTCATTGGTTCACTAAATGATAAATCATAAATGATTTAATAACTTACACATATTTTCTCTCTTTTCCATTTTATAACAGTTTTTCTCTGAACTCAATTTAACTTCATTGAATAATCATAATGATGATGTTGATGATGGCGACTTGAATTGTTCTACACATTTTCCACGATTTATTATCGCTGATCAATATATGAAAGATCCGACCAATTCATCAACAGATGTTGAAGAAACTAGTTTCAATGATAATCTTACAAAAGATTGGTCAAATGAAAGTTTTGATAAGATACAGTCATTACGTAATGGCAATACTACTACTAATACTACTGCTACCACCACCACTACTACTACTACTAGCAACAGTAATAGTAATAATAAGGATAGTAATAAGGATTCTAAAACAGATCAGAATAGTTTGATTAGAAAACCATTCAATACTACTGATAAACTACTCAAACAAAAATCAACTATTACTATCATAAGAAATGAATTAGATAAATCTAATATGAAACCATATATTGTAAATAGACCATGTTTCCCGAATACTACTACTCCTACTACTACTACTACTACTACTACTACTCCTACAACTAGTAGTAGTACTACTTATTATATTAATAGTAGACATTGTAATTCTATACAACATCAGAACCCAATAGAGAATAGATTACATAATAATCAAAATTTATCCAAATCATTAAATTCATTAAATATAAATTGTAAACAATCAATTGATAGAAAGAATTCAAGACCAGTTGAAAGGATTTCAGTTTTGCCAATCATCAATGATACTACTACTAATAAGAATAGTAGTAAAAGTAATAATAATAAATTTACTAGGAATAGTTATACTACTCATAATCATCGAATACAATCAATAAAAAATCATCATGTAACAGAAAGGAAATCTACAATGCAACAATTGAAATCATCACCGTTACATCATGATAATCATCATCATCATCATCAGAGTAGAAATCAACAAAATCAAAGTAGAAGTAAATCAGCTAATATGTTTAATCGTAAACTATCATCTACATCTACGTCTACATCAGCGTCAGCAGCTGTAGCAACAGCAGCATCGACGTCATCGACATCGTCATCATGTAAACAAGTCAATCATCAATTAATCAATAAACCAGTACAAATTGTATATACATCAGGAGAGAATAAAAGACATCCAGATGATTATGTAATAGATGATCATTTATATCAATCGAATCATTCTAAACAAATTAATCCATTAATTTCTATAAATAGTAAATTGAGACATGGCTCATTAATACCTATATCAACAAGATCTTATTCAAGTTCTCGCATTCCATTGAAACAATATTAATTGATCATTATTATTATTATTATGATTGAAAGTGCCTCATTTTGTTTGTTTTTGTTTAAGATCATGAATGAATTGATGTTAGATCATTATTGAAAACCTGGAACCATTGGATAGCCATCCTGGACTGATCAGATGACGAAGAACTGGTCATTCAGTGCTTTCAGGCTTTCAATAGTGATCAATTGATCAATTGATTGATCATCTTAATCAATCCCTATAATTTTTGTTGTTGCTATGCCTATGTAACCTCTTTTCAGTTTGGAGATTATTTTCTTCTCTTCTTTTTTGATAAAGGAGAACTAAAACACTTTTTTTCAAATTACATCATTCATTTATTATTAAGCATTCTGTGGTCAGATTTAAAGTCTTTCATTGAAAAGAAAAGCAAGAATAATTTGAAATTCATCATCTTTTTATCATCATGTCCATTCTCTTTTTTTTATTATCATGATGATACTACTATTAAACAGTTTAAGTAGTATCATTAAATAATGCAGTTTTTTCGAAAAAAACTCGTTTGTAGTGCTTTACTAGAATGATAAGAGTGAGTTATTTTGGTTGCACACATCTTCTATACAATCTATATATAGTTACACATACACACAATGCAATATGAATCACTTGTAATCTAATTAATGAGTCAAGACATATGAATTCAATGATAGATTGTTTAGTAGTTGGATTGGTGACTTGATTGAAACTAGACCATCTGGAAGTACTAGATAGTCATTTCATTCTAGTATGGTATTCCTCAACAGGATGAAATAACCATCTGTTACTTTCCTGTTTTTCATGATTGTCTAACTTCAATTGACTTGTCAATTCACTTAGTAGAATTACTAATAATATCCACACAAAAAAAAATCCGTCTCTGATCGATTTTTTACTTCCCATGTTTGTTTCTATGACAACGAATGGTCAATTATTTAATTTGAAGTATCACCATACTTTCTTTGTTGTAGTTGTAATCGTTTATCTCACTCATTTTCTCCCTTTTCTCTTTTTTTTACAAGATTGTTATCGATTATTTCAATGATTCTCCTTTATATTTTTTTGTTTTTTTCTTGTTCTAATTGTTTATCATCTTGAATTTCTATTGGTTAGTGTTTTTATTTCTTTTATAAGATCTCATTCTATTCTGTGCTGTACTGTACTGTACTGTACTGTACTGTACTGTTTATGTTTTGTTTTATTTCATTTTTCATTTTATAAGTAAAACATTAGTATAGATGATATTGTTGATGATTCATTTGTGAATAGAGTTGAAGGATGATGATAACGTTCTGAATGATTAGTTTCATTTTTAATACAGTGGTCTTGAGTGCTGTTATAGATATGAGGGCGGCTATCACTTCACGGTTGCCCGCACCGTGGAAGCGTTCTTCTGGAGGTACCTGAAAGAGAAATTGGATTAGGCGTGGTCTTAGTGACCTGAGAGCGTGACCCCAATGCCTAAGGAAGAACTGCTTGAAGTCAGTCACACACGATGTTTGTGTGAGTAGTTTTCGCGTTAGCTCCATACTTGTTGAGAACTTTCCACTGGAGATAAATATCCGTGGGATAAGGTGAGGTGTGCATTTTCAGGATGGACCAATTCCAACCGCACCCCTACTTGTGCGAAGGCAGCATCGTTGTGATGATGGTTTATGTATTTATTTATTTTAACACGTAGATATTGGTACAAGGAGGCACCAAATAGATATGCGCCACACAAATCTCATTCGATATGTCTGAGGGCTGTAATACTGCCCGGGTGCCCAAACCGAAGCAGGTGGTTATCTTAGGGAGCCACTCCCCGAGCCTTCGACCTGAAGGTTTGATCCACAAGGCAGTGAAGCATCGTAAGGAGACGCAGTCTCACGGAAGCCGGTGTCAAACGATGGGTTCATACAGCATTTGTTCGTTCAGGATACTGGAGCCCATGTGCACCATCAGTTTGGAATCCGGTTAAAGCGCCTGACGGACATTCGCTGTTCGTCCTCTCATTTTTGTAAACAACACCCGCGCCACGAGAACGCAGTGAGTAGGACTTCCCTGGCAGAGGCTATATACGCGTGACCATGTGAGAGCATTTCGAAAGGGAGAACGGACTTTCCTCACTCTCGGCCATACCAGGGCATTTCGTGGCTGAAGGAAACATCTTACTGCTGTCACACCCCTGTGCAGTCAACAGTACGACTTCGCCCTCGGATCTTGGGTTTATTGCTCTTGGTCTTACAGTTCTTCAGCAGACCTGTCTGGCATGGTAGAATCTTGAAGAACGATTGTTCCAGCCAGTGTAGCTCGGTTGGTTCATCACGATAGGCAAGTCCGACCACCACGTGAAGGTAGAAACAACGGTTGTGTTCCATTTGTAATGGCTATGGTAGTTCCATGGTTGATACTTCAATCAAATTGTAATCGGTTTCAGTTGACATGTATATCATCTTCTATATGGACATTGTGTCAGAGGTTTCTATGATAAAGATAGAATGTGGTTAACAATGTTGTCCAAGATGTGTGTTTTGTTGTATTTGAGACTTGTCAGTTGAATGTATCTGCATCATATTACAAAGCAAACTGAAATTCATACCTGATGCACGAGCGAGTGGTTATCTGGCATCGGTAACTAAGTGGATAACTCCGAGATGTAACTACACTCCTCTGATGAGTTTAGAATGAGACGAAAACGGTCATTCTGGATCAAACTGTCCGTCACATTTTATTTATCACGTACAAAGTTGTGAGTACTGGTATTCCTATATAAAGGTGGTGTAAAGGTATAAGTTGTCTTTATTTTGTAGGAAATTCATGGAGACTTGACTATTTGGTGAACCGTTAAATCAGGATTACGTAGTCTGTCTAAGAAGCACATCGAGATTCAACTGATCGGACAATTCCGCAAATTGATCTGAATTTTTCGAAGTAAATAGTTGAAGAGATTGGCTTCAAGGAAATCGAACAATCACATTGCTTGCTGAGTTGTGTTGATCTGTAAATGTTCTTTCTGAATCACGATGCTTTCAATGATCATCAGTGTAAGCAAATAACAAGAAATTCAAGATGAAGTTGATAGAGTTTTGTTCTCTGAGTTCGATGGTTTGATCGTGGATTGTTCATCATTCTTCTGAACGACATCATCAGCAGCACAAACTTCGGGTAGAAGTGAAGTGTTCTTCTCCAATACTACTGATTTCCACCAGACGAAAACATACATTCACGATCATATTTTCAGGGTGTGTGAGTATTGAAAAAGTATCAAGGATATTCTATTTATTTCATTCGGTGAACTCTAACTGACCTCTTAGACTGACAAGCATTAAACATCGAGGCGTCTGACAAAACTCCATTAGTTCTTATGAAGTGATTCAGACAGAGAATGAGAATGGGTATCTGCATGAAATATTATGTGAATGGTTGCTTGATATCATGATTCAAATGAACATTGAGAAACGTCAACTCGGTCTAGAACTAGCAGCCTTCTTATACAGTAGTTTATTTTTATTTAAACACATTAATATTGGAACAAAGGGCGACCGAATACATATGCACCACAAAAGTCACTTGATTTGTGAGTGGGCCATACCCCGGAGCCTTCGACCTTGAGGTCTGATCCACAAGGCAGTGGAGCAAGTTTAGTATATGCAGTCGGTCCCATGGTAACTAGTGTCCAATAATTGGTTCATACCCCATTCGTTCCATTAGGATCCTTGAACCTATGTGGACCATTGGTTCGGAATCAAGGTTTTGCAACTGCCCTAGGTGGATCCTACACATCCATCAAGCTGAATAATGCTCTGGACATTTGATTTTCTTCCTCTCAATTTCGTAAACAACACCGCCACTTCGAGAAGGCAGTGAGTAGGACTTCCGTGGCAGTGGTTGTATGTACGTGACAATGTGAGAGCATTTTGGGAGGGAGAGCTGACTCTCCTCACTCTCGATCTCACCAGGTCATCAGATAATTAAATAAATCTCTCGAAATTGCCTGTTTTCTAATTTTTAGAATGAAAAATTAAGATTATAAAGATTAAAGATCCCAGCACCATTTATTTGATAATTAAGTGGGTTTCGCGGTGTTATGTGTTTACTTAGGTAAATGGTGTGTGTGAGTGTGTGTGTGTGTGTAGACGTATATATAATTTGAAGATACCACTTATTCCTAACTATCAGCTGATGAACTTCAGAAAATCGGAAGGCACTAGATAGCTCTTTGACCGTGACCCATGATCTCTCAGGAGTTTCAGCTTGGAAACCATTTAACGTATAGATAAAGATGTTTCAGCATAGTGACATAAATCTTATCACTTAATTTCGAAAATATAAATCACCGATAGCAGTTTTCAAATTCTAACATTCAATGATTCAAGATCATCTCAAGGCAACATCGTTCATAGTAAACGATCTTCATCTACATCTTAAACAGGAAAGGAATGAAACATTGGTGGAACTATAATTTAAGCGACACTAAAGTGACCTTGAATGTGTCCACCTAATAACTAGGATCAAATGAGCATTAAAAACCAGTGTGTGACGAAATGGAATTATGATTTTGCAGTTGATGATTAAGGCAAGGATATAGATTTATGGGCTTTTCATCACGAACGGATATCCGTTATAATGTCAAAACTCAGTTTATCCAAATGGATGAATGAATTTCGCGTCAAAATCCAAGATCTGTTATCCCACATTGGAAAAGAAGCTCAACAAAATAGAGTTTAAAGGAGAATAGTGAAGTTTGAAGGTGAAATGTTTAAATAATATGAAAACGGAAGATTTTCAGAATGATAAGTAATAAGTGTAGCATTTACACTACTGAAGATTAAGTTTATCCTGGAAATCTCAATGTTTAAATCGAACATATCTCATCTTGATCCATCAACTCTTGCTTTACATGATATGGCCTATCTGAATGAATGGTCAATATCTAGGCAATATGATATACAGTACTAATTCTTTTCTCGTTATTGAGTTTGACATGTATTGTGGTTCCACACTAAGTTAGTATCTCACAACAGACCCGGTTGAACTCCACTGCTCACTGTTTCTCACTAGAACTCCAGGAAATACTTCTTAAAGCCAATCACTAGTTGGCATATGATGATTACAATGAGAGAGAGGTTTTGTGAATATTATAATAATTCGATAGTGAAATTCATAAGTCAATTAAATCAAGACCATCATAGAAAACGTAGAATGACTGGATGGCCGTTTCGTCATAGTATGAAACTCCTCAGCATGAAGGATCCATCTAGGGGAGTTGGAAAACCCTAATTCCAAACCAATCGTGCACATGGGCTCCATAATCCTGAAGGAACAAATACCATATGAACCAATCGTTGGTCATTGTCTATCATGGGATTGTATCTCCTGACGTCGCTGCATTGCTTTGAGGATTAGACATTTAAGTTGAAGTCTCCGTGTGTGGCTCTTTAGAAAACCACCTGCTTCGGTTTGGGCACTCAGGCAGTTTCTCAGCCCTCACATAAATCTAATGATTTATGTGACGCATATTTATTTGATGCGCTTAAATAAAATAGAGTGAAAATGGAACATTCATAACCTAGTTTGTGCTCGTTCGACACTATCTAACACGTCCATCAATCACAAAGTGAAAGGGAACTTGTGGTCTTCATGTATTGAGATATTTCTGTAAGCAATTCGAGCCATTGGTTTGAACTGGATTCCCTGGAGTTATTGACTTTGATGAATTACTGTTGAGTAATCTTTTCATCCATTATGATTGGTGCTTAGATTTTCATAAGAAAATCAGGACAAAACCAGTGATACTCAAGTTTCAACGGCTTCCTAATAGATGATAGCTCCTTGTGAAGACTATTCACATATAGGACAATAAACACTTTCTTCGAAATTACATTATTAAGCATGTGATATGTATTTGTTGCCGTTAGCAATGGAGTTCAACTAGGTCTGTTGTGAGATAGATATCAACTCACTGAAGACAATGGTGTATGGTGGCGCAATTTTGTGGATTGGTTGAAGCTAGATATTAACACCGATGGGTGCCAGCCGGCTCAATTGTCTAGTTGGTTAAGCGCGTGGCGCGAGACTGATAGCTCCTGGGTAAGGATAAACTGATTTATTTGTTGTTTTTTTACCTTTCATTTATTCTCCAGGATCCAGGTACAATAATGTTGGAAACTTTTGTATCATTTTTATTGTTATGATAATAAATACTCTTCCTATATATGAATGTAACCATGTTTAAGTTTGCTGGTCTACCCTCAAAGCAATACATTTATTATAATGGATTAATAACACTTACAGAATAATGATGTGTGTATT